AAGTATCAACCACAGTGACTGAGGCAGGGATAGTTATTATAAACAGCTAGTTTTAATATGAATTACAGGAGTGTAAATACCAATCTGGCACGTAAAACTGTGTTCAGAATGACCTCTTATGGCCAGTTACAGACATATAATCTGTTCACCTGTGTTTAGGTGACTAGTAAAACAGTAATTACGTTACATTGTGAGAGAATATGAGCAACACAGTGAAGTAAAGTGACTTAAGTGTTTGAATTAGGTAGCTGCGTCAGCATGCGTAGGCTGCAAACGAACAAGTAATAGGTTTATTCCCTGCTGAAAAGAAAAGAAAGGAAACTCAACGTTTCCGCTGTGGAGCCTTTCCTCAGGTGTGTGTTTCCGAAACTTTGTTGAAATAAACCCGTTACCTGTTGCTTTGTGCCTTTAGCGTTAGTGCGTGCGCTGTGATAGTTTTCCATCATGAGTGTTTCCAGTCATTGTGGTTTTAAGATCGCAAAAGAGGAGTCGGGCGTAGCTGTCGGCGTCATTCCTGACCATACCTTCTGCGGAAGATTTTGGGCTTGTAATGATTGAAGGATGGACGGAACTCTTAACGCCTAGTGCACTTTCGGCAAAGTAAGGAAACCGGTGCCCTTTTACGCGATATTTCTCAATACTCTTCCAGCTTTTGAGAGCTATCAAGCATGCGCAGCTGTCAGCTGGATAGCTAGTACTGTATATAGGAGACTTCTCGTCGTTAATGAAAACTGAGACCAAGGCAAAAGCTAGGTTAATCTAAGGAGAAGCTCTTTGAAAATGCAACTGATGATTATCTCCTAGGGATAGAATTTTATTACAGGAAACTGCAAGTTTAAACATTAATTAGCGAAATTTAAGACCGAAACAGAGAATGTGATGATCGACAACGCACCATTCTTTGAAGCGAACCCGCCTTGTTTGGCTGTTTAATTGTGTGGTATAAAAGACCACACGTGATGTGCTGCCAAATCGAACTGTCCTCATTTCTTTCCGTCAAACTATGTATGCAAATATTTTTTTATGTTTATTCCATAAATTACGGAGGGTTAGGAGAAGAAATTGTCACATGACAACATGTAGATATGGGGAGTGTCACAAAAATTAGGACCTGTACCTAATGCACTCTGCTCTCCTCCCCACTGATAGCTGATGTGTGGCGAGTGTACTGGCGCACTATGGCTGCCGTCGCATCATCCAGGTGGGGCTGCACACTGGTGGTGCACTTTGTAAAGCACTTTGAGTGGAGTGTCCAGAAAAGCATTATATCAGTGTAAGGATTATTATCAATTAATATTATAATACAATTATTATTAATATTGTTATAAAAAAATCACACTGGGGGCAGTGAAGAATCTCCTCACCCTCAACAAGCTTCATTTGGTAGGACTGAAGTTCTTTTCATTGAGACTTGAGGTCTCAAGACACCCCAAGCAGTGGAGTGTGCTCATGCTGTGACTCTGGTCTGTTCAAATGACTGTACCTTGAGAATAGTGCACTGTGGAGCTGGGAAATGGGATATATACCCAAACAGGGGTACGTGGGGAACACCTTTCTTCCACCAAGGACAGTGGACACCGAAGAGCTTCACGCACGCAAGTCATTACAGACCCAAATGGTGCTCACTTTAAGTTCTCTAATTTTGAAAAGTAATTGTGAAAACACCTGGAACAAAAATGCACCTTCATTAATGGTATTTACCTGATTCATAAAACTCTTTCCTGGTTTCAGAAGTGCAGTAGTGTGTGTGTGTGTGTGGGGGGGTGTCCCGTTATTGAAAAAAATAAAGAAATTAAGATTGCAATTTTAAATAAGGAAACTGCTCCTGGCCTTCAAGAGTCTGAATGTTTACTGACATCATAATACTGTATTTGTAAAAACAGCCCATGGTTAAATGCGGTTATACAAAACATCCATTGGTTTTTCATTGAATGTACACAACCTCTCGCATTATACACAGTATAATAAAGTTCAAGCTTAGGTTTAAGCTTAATTGAGAGAAAAATAGGTGCTGTGACACCACACTTTCAGTTTATGGAACTAGCAGATATCACCATACAATTACCACACAAGATCCAAAGACAAATGTCTAAAGGATTTAAGACGCTGCAGTTATAGACGACAGACCATCTGCACAAGGCGCGGTATTTCAGATTTTGTTTTTTAAAAAGCCATTTGGACCAAACAAGAAGACGATCTTTAAGCAATGCCTGGGGAAACCCGGACGCCGATCGGCAGGCCAGGTTTCTGGAGAGAAATACATGCATTTCAGAGTGGACAGTGCAAGGAGTGATCTGGTTGGTGCATGAAAGCCTGAAAATGTGTCCCGGCTCAAAAAAAGTTTCATTTTTTGTGGCATTAAAACTATGAAAGAATGGGGCACTTTGTGTCTCCTTTATGCTCAAAAGCAGACTGGATTATGCTAAGAAACAGGAAAATGCCAAGCAAGTCTAATTAATGCACTAAATGTTGTATAACATCCCTGGGGCTGGACCCCCAGGAAACTGGGGTGCTGTCATGATTCACAACCCCACCTCTTGACTCCTCTTCAACCCTCAGACAGAGGCAAAGCAATAAATGTCACCCTGAGGTTAACGCTGCCCTCAGTGACACCACAACGGAGGGAGGTGTAATTCTAATCCGCTGCAGGGAGAGATCTCAGCATGATCATGTCCAGGCAAACGAGAAATCCCCCCATACTGTACCCCCCAAAAATCCAAGTGCACAGCTCCCGGGTTGCTCAAGTGCAAATGAAAATAAAACGCAGAAAACCTGCAAGTCAAATTTTGGGAAACAAGCTGAGGGCACACATACTCTTGGGAAATGGATCCCTTTCGAGTTCAAAACAGACTACTAGACTAAAATGGAGATATGTTTTCTCCCAAACATCTTTCAAAACGCTGTCCACCCCAGAGTCACTGGAACAAATGAAAGAAGGATAAATAGGTTTACCGTATCATTAGTTATCTGAAAACAACAACAACAACAACAACAACATAGACATATATACAAAGATACAACTGTTAGATACCAAAACCTGTACAAGTCAACTTTGGTACATGCAGGAACAATTATGTTAATGGTTTAAGTCTGTTTTCAGCACTGTTTTTCTAAATTGAACACAAAAAAAAACAAACAGCCATTTTTCTGCCCAGAGGCAAAGTGCAAATGCAACATTTGAGGCAGATACAGAGTCTCCAGTTGTGGCTCCATTCAATTCTCCTCACACCCACTTCGTCTCGCATCCTAGTGGTCTTATTCCCTGTTGATGGGTGGGAAATAATCAATTTATCCATGGCAACCAGCCCTTTGGCCCCATTTGGCCGTGAACTGAATCATAACAGGCAAAGAGTCAGTTTTGGGTGGCCACTCATCTCCTAACAGATGGACCCCCAGTCCCCCATCTTGTAGGGGGCGCTGTGTCTACAGCAGGGAATCCCAGTCCTGGTCCTGGAGGGGGCGCTGTGTCTACAGCAGGGAATCCCAGTCCTGGTCCTGGAGGGGGCGCTGTGTCTACAGCATGGAATCCCAGTCCTGCTCCTACAGGGGGCGCTGTGTCTACAGCAGGGGATCCCAGTCCTGCTCCTACAGGGGGCGCTGTGTCTACAGCAGGGGTCCCCAGTCCTGCTCCTACAGGGGGCGCTGTGTGTATTGCAGGCATTTCATGTGTCTTTATAGCATCAGCACCTGAAGAGCTGGGAGGAGTTGCTAAACTGGACCAATTTCACCATTACCGAGCTGATCCAGGTCAATGAGAGCCTGGCTGCACTGTAATCCCGGACACACACCAACCCGGCAGGACCAGGAATGGAGCCCTCCCTCTTCACGATAGCAGTGGTTAAAACAAACGGATTTGGGTCACTGGTGAAACTGGAACGGCTGTGAAAAGACTCAACTCCAGTGACTTTGAACCCTTTTTCCGTTTGCAAACCTTCCATCTCTCTCTACGTCACTTGAGTCAAAGCAGTATACAAAAGCCTTTCTAAAATGTGCAAATCCCTACCTATTACACTATAAATATGTTAAAAAAATAAATACACAGTAGTTACATTTTCAAATCACCCAGACAAGTAAGAAAATCCACAGAAATCTACAATCGTGAGCGACAAAGTTCAGCCTTGTTTTGACATCATGGTTAGAGCCCAGCATCTTTCTCTCCCCCATCTCCTGGATGTTGACCGAAAGGGATGTTGGTACGTTCTGTAACAGGAGGAGTGTGTAGTGTGTAGCCCTAGCTCATTTTGCATAACGAGAGCAGGACTTTCGCTACATATAAGTCAGAGAGGAAAAAAAACGACCCAGAAGATCATCAGAAAGAAATGCAATGAGAATGCACTTCGTGACTGAAATGGAGTCATTTAGAGATCATACAGGACCAAAAAAAAAAAAAAAATCGAGCTACTCCTTAGCCCTCATGACTCCGAGCTCTGTTCATTGAACCTGTGATTTGATTCATCAATAGTTTACAGGTGTTGCCAGGTGATCATAAGACTGACTGGAGTGGGGCTCTCAGATTTTGAGGTGACCTACTGTATAAGATTGACTGGAGTGGGGTTCTCGGATTTAGGGTGACCTATAAGACTAACTGGAGTCCCATGTCCGAGAACAATGGGAAAAAAAAAAATACTGATTAAGCAGGTCATGCGATCAAAGTAACTCTGGTGAAGGATACTCTGAATCCACTCCTAAATGATCACAAGGTTACGTATTCTTAGAAATCACTCATTTAGTTGATCATAGCAAATTTGTTGCCCTACAACACCTAGCTCGGCACTCCTACTGCAGGGCACTTTAGAGTTCTAACTTACAAGTCAGTGTACCTTCTATACGAAAAGGACAACACACAAGACACTGCATAGTCTAGAAGTCTAGACGCTATGTAGCATCAGGGCGGTTAACACTGTTGTCCTAAAACTCCCAGCCCCAAGATTGAGCTCCTGTCCCATGTGGATTTTAGACTGGGACTACAACCCAGTTTAAAGCCACTTTCTGGTAGTGGATGCGCTCTGTACCCATTAAAACCAATGCTTACTGGTTCTTGGATCAGAGAACCAAACTCGCAAAATGGGTCAAATGTCCTCCTCTCATCCGAGATGGTTAAACTGTCCGGAAAAGAAAAATACCGCCTTAAAACAAAAAAATAATCAAATAATCTCTAAAATGATCCATTTACAGCCTGGTTAGCAGAGTGCTGTTCCTCTCTCGGGGCAGCACGTGACCTCAGCAGCTCAAGAGACGGTCCTGGGAGGTGCTCCCAGACTGCTCCGCACAGATTGGGAGCTTCTGGAAATGAACAACTGGGATAAAATCAACTCGGGACAAGAAGACGGGGAAGGATGAGGGGCTCCTGATGAGAGAACGGATCCCGGAGAAGAGTGTCGTTCCAGGATGGCCAGGATCTCCCTCCATCCAGTCCGGCTCCATGGAGGGCGAGACCAGCCGAGACCTCCCGGTGATGGGGGGGGGGGCTGGATTCCCCCACCCCCTGACGTCTCGGCAGAGGTGGAAACAGAATGGGAACACTGGGAAAGGCGCAAGGTCATACGTCGTAGTCCGGGAGCGCGGAGTAACTGATCCCTCCGGAAGATGGCGGGCCGGACCGGAGCGGGAACAGCCAGCACAGAACCGAACCTGAAAGGCACAGCCAGGAGAGAAGCCCACCCCAAACGTCAGACTGGGGCAGGAGGGGGGGGGTTCACATTTAGGGAGGTGCTCTCCCATCCCCTCCTTCCCACAAGGGGAGAAGACTGCAGTCTCTAATGCCCCAGTATAGTGATGGGGATAATACACTGCAAGGAGGCACTGTCCTTCGGATGAGAGGACCAAGGTCCTGGCTCCCTGTGCTCTGTTTCTTGACAAGAGTAGGGGTGTTACCCTGGTGTCCTGGTCAAAATATCCCCCTGGCCTTTACCCATCGTGGCTTCCTAATAATCCCCATCTCTGAACTGGCTTCATCACTCTGTTCTCCTCCCCACTGAGACCTGGTGTGTGGGGAGAGTACTGGAGCATCATCCAGGTGGGGCCGCACACTGGTGGAGGTGGAGGGGATCCCCATTAACTGTAAAGAGCTTTGCCTGGAGTGTCCAGAAAAGTGCTATAGAAGTGTAAGGAGGATTTATTCCAGCATGCTGGGTACCCAAGAGCTGCTCACCTCTGCCAAACACCTCCCTGAGCAGCAGCAGTTTGGGCTTCCTCTTCTGGTGCGGACCGGCTGCCTTGTCCTTCATCAGCCGGTTCCGGATCTGCTCGATGGGCGTCTCGTCGGTAATGATGGAGACCAACTGCAGGGGGCGACACAGCATGAACAACACGGTGGGGGGGGGGGTTGAGTTGAGAGGCAGAGCGTTTTTTTCTGCGCTTTCATTTTGCTGTTTGTTTCTTTTACCTGGTCGTAGAAGATGACCGTGACGAAGACGCCGAAGAGCACGGACTCCACCAGCAGAATGATGTAGTGAGCCCTGGAAACACAGGAAGCGGAGGAATTAACTCCCGAGTCCCCAGCCAAGCGCCCACGCACCTCCTTCGAGAACAGATCAACCCCTTTCAACCAGTGTTTGTTTTTTTTAACACGCTCATCCCGATTTTAAATTGCTTATCCCCCTCTCTCTACCTTTATGCCGGCGTCACGCTACACAAATTTTCCGAGGATTTTCAGTCGTAGCCTTCATTGACATAATGCTATTATTATACAGAATTATTATTAGAATTAGACAGAATTATATTTCTGAAGATGTTTATTCGGGGGAAAACAATGGCCGCGTCACATTTTCCGTGCTTGTGTGATCGTGCCCTCCACCACCCGTTCCGTCCCACAGCACCTGGGGCGCGAACCCGGGTCTCCGGCGTAACGCAACAGGGAACCAGCTGAGTGAGCTAAAGGAGACCTCCCCCAGCCCAGGCGGCTGAGGTCCCTGCTACACGCAGGGAGGGCGCCGACGTCACCGTATCCGAACGAACGAAGTTCGTTTACTTTAGCGCGGCCCTTCCTCTTGTGCTCCATGTTGATTGGCCGCTATAATGACACGAGCTGGCGGTAACTTCCGCGGCGTCACACGAGGTCTGGACACGAGCAGGAGGATTTGCGTCTTTTTTTTTGTGTGAAGTTAATTTGGACAGATTTGCAGAGTTTGTTTGTAGGCATGTAAAAGGTGTTTTTTAGATTTAAGGATTTTGATCTTTTGTTGTAATAAGAAAATGTGGGGTGAAAAAGCATTTATTTATAGCAAACTGGTAATTCTGGGTAAAGCTAACATTTATAAATTAAAATGGTCCACTAATACGTTCTTTTTAGTCTTTTGGAGTATTGGAGTTGAAATATTTATTTGAAATTTTGTAAAATTGTGAAAGACGCAAAAGCAAGTTAACATTATATGTTATATGTAAAAAATAACTGGGCTATATAATTTACTTCATTATCTCTGGCAGTTAGTTTTTTTCTGATTGGATCTTTTTTCTCTTGTATTGGTTTCTGCTCCTCTAGCTGTATTTGTAAAGTCTTTAATACGTTTAATAAGAAAATATTTTTAAAAAAACATGGTTTGGAACCGTGATGAAAAACCTTGAGGGAACCGTGTGACTAGTCCCCCCCTGCGATTCCTAGTCGTATAATTTGCCACCCTCTAGGACAGAAAGGACTGCGAGGTTCGGCAAACGCCATCGTTAAATCTGACATGCTCTCCGATCAGAAGTCGTGTTGAGTCCTGTAGCGCGACGCTGGCTTTACCTTCGATACACAAGACACACAGCACCAGTGACAGGATACCAAGAAAACATCACTATGCAGGAACGTGCTTGACAATATTAGCTGGATCAGTCTGCAGCACTAGGCAGAGGTGATAATAAGACTGCTCAATAGCCAACCTGCAGCTCCTTTAGCAAATCACCTGTAATGGCTACATGGACACACAGTTTTCACTGTATTCAGCATAACTGCACTACTTGTATATATTGCACACACCCTGGACACTCAGCAGCTCTACTCATATTGAGTTTTAATCCATTTCTATTACATCTATTATTATATAACCTGACTTTTGTAACCTCAATTTTGCGATTTTGGTGTTTTTGTGATCCTTGTGATTTTTGTGAGCTCGCGGAAAATACATTTCATTGCCAGCAACTACTGCTGCACGCTGTATTGTTGTGCATTTGAGAAATACACTTTGATTTGATTTGATTGGAATAGAGAACCACTTGGTGGATACCGTGGGATGAGCTGGATCTACTCACACTATGAGATGCTTGCTGGGACCTCCATCTTCCTCCCTGGCACCCTCGCCCTCCCTCTCACTGCGGATCCGCCAGACCCACGCCGACACCACCAGGGCAATGGAGTACAGGCTGGCCAGACCTGCGAACCCACACCGCCAATCAGCCAATCGCCAAGGCAGGCAAGGACTCCGACAGCCAATCACGATCACAGGCAGAGACACGGGACAGCCAATCACAGTGCCAGGGCTGGCATGAAGACGATCAGTCACAGGGCCCAGATAGACAGCTGTTACCATTGACCAGACAAAGAAACCACTGCCAGCAGCCATATCACCCTGCAACTCACAACTGGCAAGCCACTGAAGCTCAGCAGGTGAGAGCCCGGTCAGTATGTGGATGGGAGATCTCCTGAGAAAAACTAAGGTCACTGCTGGAAGAGGTGTTAGTGGGGCCAGCAGGGGG